ACGTAGGTGGTTTTAATTGGACCACAGCCCCATGCCGAGAGTTGGTTAATGATTGTGTGTAGCCCTATTTTTTCAAAGGCTTTGGCAAAGTCTAGGGATATGATTGAGAGGTGTCTCTTTTCGTTGAGGGCTCTGTTGATAAGAGCGTCAGCGTAAAGCAGACAGTTCATAGCAGATTTCCCTTTTTTAAATCCGAGTTGTCGGCTATTTAGTAGTTTGTTGGATGTTGCAAACCACCATAGCCGTTTCGATATTATTTTATCTAATGTGTTTGACAAGCAGGGATTGAGGGAAATAGGTCTGTAGGATTCTGTTAAAGTTTTGTCCGTACCTGGTTTGTGTATTGGGATAATTATGCTAGATTTGTAGATCTGAGGAATGTGTGACCTTAGGATGCTATTGAAGAAATTTATGATTCTTATTTTGACCGGGCTTGCGACGTGTTGGATCATTGGATAATTTATTTTGTCCTGTCCTGGTGTTTGACCTTTTATGCTGTTTAGGGCGGTAGAGAATTCTAGAAAGTTTATATCTTGTTCCATAAATAGTGCTGTTCTGTGTGTGGTGTTTCCTTGGTTTAGTGTGAGTAATTTTTGTTTTTCTTCGATGAAGCTTGTGGAAAATTGTGTGTCCTCTGAGCGAAGAGACCAAAATTTTGCAAATGTGTCGGCAATTTGTTCCGGGCAGAAAGCAGAGCTTTCTTATTTTGTTCCAAATTGTTTTCGGCTTGGATTGTGGCGTGATTTTGGATGTGAGCTCAAAGAGGCTGTCTGCTTTTCTCGATCTTATTTCTCTTCTGTATTGGGTGTTCAGTTTTTTGTAGTTAATTAGATTATTAGTCGACATATCTCTATTGAAGGTCCTGCAGGCCTTGATTTTTTCCCTTTTTAAATTTTCCAGTTTTTTATTCCACCAGGGGACATTGTGGTGCGATCTTGGAGGTTTTGTATGCGGAATACTTTGGTATGCACTTTGAAGAATAATTTTGTTTATATTACTTGCTTCTTGGTTTATATTTGTTGACGTTGGGATGCAATTACTAAGGATGTTTGTGAGTGTTTCAAATTTGTTCCAATCTGCGTTTTTTGTCACAAAGCGTTGATTGAAGTTGTCTTTCTTTCTTCTGCTGCTTGGAAACATGTCGATAGTAATTGGGAAGTGGTCGCTCCCTTGGAGAGAGTCGCTGATCTTGAAGTCGCAATAAATTCTGAGGTCGGGTGAACAAAATGCTAAGTCGATGTGTGTGAGGGATCTATGGGTCGAGAAGTGAGTTGGTTGGCCGTTGTTTAGAATGATGAAGCCCTTGTTCAGGATGAATTTGCCTAATATTCGTCCCCTACGGTTAGTTGTGGGAGAACCCCAAAAACTATTCCAGCTATTGAAGTCTCCTGTAAATAATGTTGGAGAGTTTCCTATAGGGACTATTGATTCCAGGTCTGCTTCGGTAAATTTTCTGTTCGGTGGGATGTAGGAAGAAACGATATTGAGTTTTTTGAAAGACTTAATTTCCAGTGCAATGGTGTCGAATGAGTTTTGCAGTGGAATTATGATGTGTTCTATTGATTTGTGTATCAAAATTGCTGCACCGCCATCTGGACTGTGCGAGGATGTGTAGTGAAATTCAAAGTTAACTGGGATAGGTACGTTTTGGTAATAAGTGATGTGGGTCTCCTGGAGGGAAACGATTTTGGGATTAAGGTGTTTTAGTAGAATTAGCAGTTCGTTGTATGTGTTAAGGTAACCATTTATATTCCATTGGAGGATCTTTAGAGTCATTTTTAGATTTGGCTTGGTGTTGGATTTGTATCAGAAGAGGAAATGGCTTTAAGTTTTGCTCTAGTCATGACAGAGTTTTGATCGTTTTTCAGCAGTCTTTTTGTTATACCCGTTACTCGTAGAGTAAAAGGGTATACTAGATTCGTCGGAAAGTATGTAACAGGCAGAAGGAAGCGTTTCCGACCCCATAAAGTATATATATTCTTGATCAGGATCACTAGCCGAGTCGATCTAGCCATGTCCGTCTGTCCGTCTGTCCGTCTGTCCGTCTGTCCGTCTGTCTGTCCGGATGAACGCTGAGATCTCGGAAACTATGAGAGCTAGGCTATTGAGATTTGGCGTACAGATTCCTGAGCTTCTTACGCAGCGCAAGTTTGTTTCAGTAGACTGCCACGCCCACTCTAACGCCCACAAACCGCCCAAAACTGTAACTCCTACAGTTTTAATGCTAGATAGAAAATTTTAACTGAAATGTATTGTTCTCATCAATACCTATCGATTGACCTAAAAAAAGGTTTGCCACGCCCACTTAAACGCCCACAAACCGAGAAAACCTGTGACGCCCACAATTTGCATGCTAGATAAAAAATTTTAACTGAAATGTATTGGTGTCGTCAATACCTATCGATTGATCCAAAAATAAATTTGCCACGCTCACTCTAACGCCCATAACGCTTAAATCTGTCTACCGCCGGTAGGTGGCGCATTTTAATCTCGCTTTGCTGCTTGCATATCTCCATTTCCTTTTGAGTAACGGGTATCTGATAGTCGAGGTACTCGACTATAGCGTTCTTCCTTGTTTTATTTGAGATGTTTAGAGGTAGGATTTTGGCTTTTCTTTTTGTTGTGTGATCCTGATTGGCGTCTTGTACTTCGGAACCAGATGACATGGGTTCATCTGGGTCAAAATTAGACGCGTTCGGGAGGGTAAACTCATCAGATTCGTAGCTTACCGTTTTGCGCTGCATAGGTGTTATTGTAGTTTTTGGTGGTTGCATTTGGTTAGATTGAGAGGAGGAAGCTTTGGCTGCGGAGGAGTACAGGGAGCCATCGTGGTGGCGGTTTTTGTAGATGGACCAGGCTGTCCTGTTGTCTATTTTATTTAAGGTCTTAATCGCTTGAACTTCCTTGTGTGAAAAGAAAACTGGGCAGTTTCTGTCGCGGGCGTGGTGATCAGTGAGTGGTAGTTTTTTCTCCGTGCAGTTGATGCAGTTGGATTTGTTTGAGCATATTATACCTTGATCTGTGTTTTCATGAGCTGCAAGGCCACAGTTTGAGCACATTTCTGAATTTTTGCAAAATTTTGCGGTATGTCCCATTCGCGAGCAGGTGATGCAGCGCACTGGAGGAGGAATGTGTGGGCGGACCTGGACTCTTTCGTATCCAATGTATATATGTTCTGGGAGATTGGTTAGTTTGAATGTTAGTTTAATTAGACCTGTTTCATTTCTTTCAGTTTTTTGTGTTATTTGACCAGGGGTACATTTGTAAATTTTTTCAACTTCATCAACCTTTTGAGATCTAAGGTTCCCTAATATAAATAACTCCTTTAGTGCAATTAAGGCTTCGGTGTTCTGTTATTTTAATTGGGATAGTGATGTAGGGAAAATTTGAAGGTAGACTGAAGAGATTTTTTAGTTTTTCGGCTTGCAATAGGTTTTTGGTTAGAATTAGAAGTTTTCCGTCTTTGGTTTATTTACAACTTGTGACTTCTCCTTGGATTGTATTGTCTATTGTTTTTTTGATGATGAATGGTGAACAACAAACTTTAAGTAGATAAGCGGGGGCAATCTTTGCGTTTGTTTTGATTATGCGTTGGGATGCTGCGGTACTTTAATGATACGCGGAAGAACACGTCCGATGGCTTAGGCTGTCGAGAGTGAACTGTTTTTATTTGGTTATAACATTATAATAAATGGTCCGATTTCATAAATTGTTGGCAAGTAGATAATGAAAATAAACTCTCATTTAAATGTTTACAACATATTAAAAAATGTGGGCGCTGGACGGGCTTTAGTGTTATCGTCTATTGTGGGCGTTAGAGTGGGTGTGGTACCCTGCCGAAACAAACTTGCGTTGCGCAGGAAGCCCAAGAATCTACATGCCACATTTCAAACGCTCTAGCATTTAAAGTATCTGAGATCTCAGCGTTCATATGGACAGATGGACAGACGGAAATAGCTAGATCGACCCGGCTAATGATCCTGATCAAGAACATATATAGTTAATGGGGTCGGAAACGCTTCCTTTAACCTGTTACATACTTTCCGACGAATCTAAAATATCCTTTTACTCTATGAGTACCGGATATAGTAGAATAAAACAGGAAAGAACGCTAAAGCCTCTACTATCAGGTACCCGTTACTCGGCTAAAGGGACCAAATGGAGATGGCGATATGCAATCAGCAAAGAGAGTTTGTAATGCGTCACTTACCCGTGATCCCAACATATGGTTATGAAGGTGGCAGACAGATCTAAGCCTTATTTTTGTTAGAGTAGAAGTGGCAATCTTTTTTTGGGTCAATCGTTATGTATTGACGAGACAAATACATTTCAGTTAAATTTTTTTTACCATGTAAACCGCGGGCTCCACAGTTTTGGGCCGACTGTGGGACCAATCGATAGGTATTGACGTGACTTATACATTTCAGTTAACATTTTCTAGCATGAAAATTGTAGGCGCCACCGGCTTGGGCGGTTATTGGGCGTTAGAGTGGGCGTGGCATATTCGCGTGAAAAACTTGCGCTGCGCTCAAGGCTACGGAATCTAAATCTTAAATCCCATTTCTCAATCTTTGATAGTTTCCGAGATATCCGCCTTCATACTTACGAATTTTTGAAGTTTGATCGATTGAACCGATAGGTATTGATGAGAACAATACATTTGAGTTAAAATTTTTATTCTAGCATTAAAACTGTAGGAGCCACAGTTTTGGGCGGTTTGTGGGCGTTAGAGTGGGCGTGGCACATTGCTGAAACAAACTTGCGCTGAGTAAGAAGCTCAGGAATCTGCATGCCAAATCTCAATAGCCTAGCTCTTAGTTTCCGAGATCTCAGCGTTTATCCGGACGGACGGACAGACGGACAGACGGACAGAAGGACGTGGCTAGACCGACTCGGCTGCCTGTTACATAATTTCCGACGAATCTAGTATTCCCTTTTACTCTACGAGTAACGGGTATAATAAGACAATAAATTAGCCTCGAAAAAACTTATATTCTTACTGCGAACCAAATTTTGGATCCGGCGGTCCAGGATTAGTTGAATGATATAAAGTAAGTACAGTAATAAAAGAACAGTAGCCTCGTACCACTTGACCAGCGAGTCCCACAACACAACAGTTAGGGCCGCGATAGACACGAGGTACCAGATTGTGTCCCTCGTTATCGGCCACCAATCCAGTTTGCTCTGAAAAAATTGAGATAATTAAAAGGAGGTATTTAGCATTAATGTGAGTAGTACACACCGGTGGAGTAAGGATGCCGCAAACAGCTGATATCACCAGAACATTGAAAACGGAGGATCCTACGATTGTGCCTAATCCAATGTCTCCGTTAGTGACAAAGGTTGCCACAAAGTTAACGAAGAGTTCCGGCGCCGAGGTGGCAGCAGCCAGAAAGGTGGCTCCGGCAACATCATATGTCATACGCAGAGCTATTTGGAAGGAAGCAGTGGTAACGAAAATTAACAAGAGAGAACGCTATAATCGAGTGTACCGACTATTAGATACCCGTTACTCAGCTTTTAAATTGAAAACTTATAAAAATTAAGCTAAAATATTAAGATGACCACTTTAAAATTAAAATACGCTTCAAAGATTCGCAAAAAAAACGCATTAGGCAAACGGGTTTAGCCATACGAGAGTTAGTCGTAGACTAATGGGAAACAGAAAGATTTACAGCGCTGTTACGTGTACAAATTTTTGGTCCTTTTATTGCCTTCTCGTGCGTTTCGCTTGAGTAAATGCACAGCTGGTTAGAATGGAAAGAGGGGTAATGCAAAGAGCGAGAAGCCCAATCCCACGCCCCTTCCATTGTTTTTCAGAAATGTAAAAATTAGGTTAACCTAATTTGAATTAAATAATTTAAATTGGTATTGAGTTTATTGGAGAGAAAGAGGGGAGACAAAAATGGCAATTGCTTAAATTGGTAGTTATTCAATAGAACAAGTTAGCCGCACACTCTGCTCTCTCTCAGCGCCGGCAGCGCTTTTCGCTTTGCCGCCCAGTTCGGCCTGCAACTATTAACACACACACATGCATAAGTACATTTGACATTGTATGGCTCTGACGTCATTGTTTTTGTTTTCTTGGAAGTTTTGAGGGCGTTAGAGTGGGTGTGAAAATAGGTATTGACGAGTACAATACATTTCAGTTAAATTTGTTTGTCTAGCATCTAAGCGTAACAAACTCGAGCTGCGTACGAAGCTAAAGCCTAGTACTCAGATCGGCTAAGAGTTCCAATAGTCGAAAAATCGAATTCCTTGTAGTGTGACCGAAGTTTTTAAGGTTCTCGCAATGCATGTAGCATGGCCTTACTGCCAAGCAGCTGGGTTTGTTGAAAAACGGAAAAAAAATCAATTGGAGCAATTTAAAAAAGGAATACCGCTATAGTCGAGTTCCTCGACTATCGGTTATTCGTTACTCAGCTAAAGAAGCCAAAGGAAAATGGAGATATGTAAGCAGCAAATCGAGATTGCAATGCACCACCTACAAGCGATCTCAATCTATGGTTATGTGGGCGGCAGACAGATTTAAGCGTTTTGGGCGTTTGAGTCGACGTTGCAAACTTTAATTGGGTCAATCGATAGGTATTGATGAAAAAAATACATTTCAGTTAACCATTTTTATTCTAGCATTATAGCTGTAGGAGCCACAGTTTCGGGCGGTTTGTGGGCGTCAGAGTGGGCGTGCCACACTGACGAAACAAACTTGCGCTGCGCAGGAATCTCTAGAATAGTCATGACTAATCCCAGTATTGCAGCTTTTATAGTTTCCGAGATCACAGCGTTCATACGGAAAGACGGACATGGCCAAATCGACTCGGCTAGTGATCAAGAATATACTTTATTCCGACGAATCTATCTTTACCCTTTTACTCTACGAGTAACGGGTATAAAAACGCGATAGTGTGCATTTTATCTAAATTAAAAACCAGAATGGAACATCACTTCGTGAAACCGAAGATTAAATACCCTTACATCTTAATCCATATATGAGGAGTAATATATATTTTCATTTTATTTTTATAATCGTTTTTTGAGGTAACTATAGCATATATTTCTTTGTTACGAGTGTCAGCCATGATGGAGAAGAAGACGACAAAAGCCGCGGTCTGTTAAGTGCCAAGAACACCACAAATTTCCCAATGCAGCTAATTTCAACTAAAGTAACTAAAGTAAAAAGATGATCAATTCGGTGGAAAACTTATCGGTGAACTTGAGTCCGCAAGCTGACCCTATCAGAACCCAGAAGTGGGTTAATTGCTAAAACAAGAAAATATAAGTACGTAGATGAGAACACTTAGGCACACAAACTGTGCAAGCAAAAGAAAAGCGCTAGCCAACAGTATAAAAGAGGTGGGCTTCACGGAGAATAGGCAGTAAGAAACTCATCTACGGTCCGTCTATTACCCACTGTCGGTCAACCCGACAGTCGCAGAAAAGGAAAATGAATCCCTTATTCGGAAGCGTAAAATCTCGGTTTAGGGATCAAAATAGGTCCAAATTGTCCAAAGCGGACGGTAACGCTGCCAACCTAATCAACAATGTTAAAGTGGTAGACCACAAAGAGGAAATCGTGAAAGTCTACAACGTGCTGTGTTTGATCGCTCTATTTATGCGGGTCCTAATTATCCTCAGAGGACTAAAAATGTACAAGAGATTCGTAGAGAAAATCGTGGATATCGCCGCCAATTGGCCTGAGAGAAGCCGAGAATAAACTTGAAAAAAATTAAATACATGCAGAGCAACATAGCCACAAGCAACGTGTAACCTGAAGCATGCCAAGGCGTCACCACTACAAAGTTCATCCGATGCCCCATGCGGTGCTCTTTCTTCATTACATTCATATTCTTAGTTCTTTTTATACCCGTTACTAGTAGAGAGATGTGGCACTTCTTCTCTTGGTGTAAAGTTCACGACAGAGTTCAAAGTCCTATGCGTTCAGTTATTTCGCTTTGCACCCGGCACCCTCGCTCTGCTCACGAAGTCTCCACTCACCTGTCTCTCACTCTTCAAACGCTCTTTCTCCAAGTTTCTCGTGCTCCAAGCTTCTCGTGCTACAAACTGTCAATCTCCACTTTCTTTTTCCAAACGCTTATCTTCCAACTTCTCGTTCACCAAATTCTCACTCTCCAAACTCTTGCCAAACTTGCCGCGTATCTGGTGACCGGAATTTGTGGCGTGTTATTCAACTGCTCACATTCTCCCCTTTCTTTGAAAAACAAATAAACTCCTTTCTCCTCTCCGGCCTTAGTCCTCGTGTATCCCCTAGCCTTTGAGTTTGTTTACCATTTGCCGATATTTGCAGTATTTATTTTGCCCATCGATCGACTAATCGATGCGCCCCCTTCCCTAGACAATGGTGAGTTTTGAAAAATTGATTTTGGATGAGCAGCGTTCGGTTCAGTTGTTCCTGTCTTTCCTACTGTTCATTTCTTTTCCAGCTCCAATCAGACTATGCCGTTGGTTACCCATAAGTTAGGGCCATCGCTCCCAGCGGTTTTGAATACCGTTTGGCCATAGTTTGCAGCAGGGCTCTCCTGCCCGTGGTGAGTTTTTAGTTTTCATTCCAAGGTTTTCCGTGTTTTCTTCTTGTTTATTGTTGGTGCGATGAGTGTTTTCTGTATGTTTGACCAGCTGTATACTGTGTAGACCTGAATCTGCACCGTTTGTTGGCGTTTTCATCCGGGATCTCCATAGCTCGTCCAGTGCTTAGGAAATCCTATAATATAGGGCTCTCGGGAGTCGTGGTTCCCTGACTTGGGTAAGAATCGATGGGATATAACCAAGGGACTCCGACATACTCGGAAAGCCAGAAAACTTTTTAAAATGCGTCCCGCAAACTGCACTCCGTTGTCCGTTATAGTCACCTTCGGGACCCCATACCTTGCGATTGTGCGCTCCCTAAACGATTTTTTAAGTGACGCAGCGGCACTAGTTCTATCCGTTTAGAGAACCTTTCTATCAGGACCAGAAGCATACCGTATCCAACGGTTCCTCTGGCACTCGGGTTAGCATTTTACCAGACGCATTTAATTTGGCTTTAATCTTAGCATGTCTCGCATTTCCTCACATGAGCTCGTACATCTCTATGTATACCTGGGCAGTAGTATCGGGCTGCCGACCTTGCTATTGTTCTTCGGCTTCCAACGTGCCACGCTGAAGGGGCGTCGTGGTTTTCCTTCAGTACTGTTTCCCGAAGCGACTTTGGGATGCACATCTTCTATGATGCAACGTCTGCGCTGCCCGCTCTGTGGTATATTTCTTTATAGAGTTTCGCCTTCAATCACATAGTCTGGGTACTTCAGCGGCTGGGTTCATATTATTTCGCCCATGTCCTTCATCCAGCAGCAACCTCCTGAAGCCATTGACGCCGTCGTCTCCCTTTTTGCCTCGTAGCGTCTTTGGTAGTGGCTGTCTTGACAAGCGTCCGTCACCACGTATAACTGACATTTCTGTACGCTATCTTGAAGTCGAACTGTTGTAGCTCCTGGGCCCATCTCGCGAGCCTTCCTTAGGGGCTTTCAATGCTGTTAAGCCACTTTAGAGCCATGTGGTCGGTTACGACTTTGAAATGGATACCTTCTATATACAACTTTAGTTTCGCCCAGACAATTGCCAAGCACTCCTTCTCCGTTGTTGAGTATTTTTTCTAAGCGTCATTCAGCGTCCGGCTTGAATAGGAACTTATTTTTTAGCCTCTTTCGAGGTCCTGAGTCAGTACGCTTCGAAGCCGAAGTCGCTGGCATCTGTTTGTAGGATGAAAGTTTTTCTGAAGTACGGGCATGCCAGTATCTTGCCTTTACTTCCTCAAAAGCCATCTGGTGCTCCGGCGTCCACGCCCATTTACTGTCTTTGCGTAGCAAGTCATTTTGATGTAAAATAAAAATGTTTTATTTCCCAATTTTGAAGGGACTGTATTTCTTTAAATTAAGCTTGTCTCTTTTTTTCGCATCTTTTCAAGACAAAGAATGCGAGCAGCCTGAATCTCTTCAAGGGTGAGCCTTTTTCTTTTTGTCGGCGTTACAGACTTAATGCCCTTGGTCTTTTAGATGAAGCGTAAGGCGTAAACTACAACGCGTACCAATTTTGTCCGGACGAGACGCGTTGAGCCAATGCTTCGATTGTTGACAATGAGCATCTTTGCTGAGTGGTTAATGTGGGGGTCTTCACTTCTTCTTTGCCACGGTTTTCTGAAAGAGAAGAACAGAACTTTGTACAGCTCATTTCTACAGCGAGCATTTCCGGATCCTGCAGCCATAAAGGTCCGATCCATCATAAGTCAAAATGGAGAGGGTCTGCCTCAAGCATTCCTCGTGTGGTGCAGTCCGCCGGATTCTCCTTTGTGTAACCATGATGGCATGCTTTGCAAGGTAAGGCATCGAGTATTGGTTCTGTTGGCTACAAATGTTTTGAGCTTAGAGGGTGGATGT